GCCCAGTGCAATATATAACCTGACAGTATTCTTTTAAAAATGGTTATATCAGGCAGGTTTTTGTCAAGATGTTTAGGGTACATGCAGAAGTTTACAGCAATGAGCATTTGGTAAATAACAATAACTTAAAAGAATGATAAAAATGAAATAAGTTGCCTAAATACCTAAAGAAGTGGATCACAAGTTTTAAAGACAAACACACAGAACAGATAAAACCCCACACTAAAATGATCTAGATTCCATATGATTAAAGAAAAAGATTTAAGCAAAATTCTAGAGATCTTTGTAAGAAAGAAAGAAGTTTAAAATGAACAATTATTTTGGTTTTTCTACCTGGTGTCAACTGATACCGATTATGTCATTTTTCTGCCAAGGATGCTGGAACATGAAGTCCTGGTGCCTTCCCTGGGCCAGAAACGGGCTTTCCATCCGAGAAACAGAACATGCTTTGCTGCCACTTTTTACCTCAGATAAGGCTGTGGGCCCTGAGGTAACAGGAGACAATAGCATTAAATGGGTTCCCTGTTTGTAGCTGGTTGGAAAGCCCTTAAACATATTCCAAATTAAACGAGCTACTCATTTCTCTGTGTGTTTTTGTTCAATTTCTTTCACTATCTATGTCCTTAATAATTTACAACAATGCATTGTCCCCAAATTAAAGTGAGGTCTGTGTTTTGTAATGTCCTTACTCCATAATCACCTCCGGTACTTTAACATTAAAGTTCTTACAAATGCAAGATTTTTTGTCCTGTTATTGTTAATGGGGTTGATTGCTATAAAGATTCCTGTTTCTTAGAGCAATTTCATTTGTTTCATATTCCAGAACATTTTTATTGATTCTAAGTCTGACGTGCTTACGCTAAATTGGAAGCAAGCCCCTTCTTTCTCCCTCTTCTCCCATTCTAACTGAAAGCGAGTAACCAGGTTGAAATATATGGATCAGTAATAATTAATTGCATAGAAAATTCATTTGATCACTGTGTAACTAAACTAAAACTAAACTGCTTTCCAGTACTTTCAAAGTCAGTGATTCCCAACCTTGGGTTCCCAGATGTTCTTGGACTGAAACTTCTAGAAGTCATCACCACTAGCTGTCCTGAGCAAATTGATGCTTAAGCATTGCATCTAAATTAAGCCAATGACAGGAAGCCGTTGTGGAAAAGAAAAAAAGGAAACTTTCTGGCATCAGCAGTTTTTTCATTCTGCTATGACAAGAAGAGTGCTGCTCCTGGAAGGATGTGGCTCTTATCCAGCGGCAAGTGTCCTAGAAGCAGTGAACTAGAAAGTTCGGAAATACCGAGGAACCTAAACTGGAACAGAACTTAAAAGTTGTAGTTCTACTTCCTGATCAAGGATGTCCCATTTGTAAAGAAAACAAATAGGTCCATTCACAAACTGCCAGCCCTGAACGAATGGCTGTAATTCATATGCAAATCTATCCTCATTTTGAGGCATACTTTGAATTATTTCTCATAAAGGCAGACTAACTTGACATCCCAAGATTAGAAAGGAACATTTACAACTATTACGAATAATGTTTTTTAAAAAAAACAAAACAAAACACTATTAATATTCACCTGAAAAATGTGGTTTATTTCAAAATGTAATGTTGCATAATGGAAGTTTGTCATGGCTGTTCTGTTTGTCTCAGCACATGGTTTTTCAATAAGGATGCTATTTCTTCCTATTTGTGTCGTGAATTCAAGCAGAAACAAATGTCTTGTCTTTCTGTTCTTCCTTTTTCTTCTTTTCTTTCTTTTTACATTTATTTGCTGTCTTTGGCTTCTGATCTCAGAAACTTTAATTCTTGTAGCTGCCCACCATTCATTTTCTTATGGGCTCATCTAATCCTTTTCTTCTTTTTCCTCTTCTCATTTTTGCTTCACTTATTTATAGGAAAACATACCATTATTAAGGAGACCACAGATAATTTTTAAACATTTTTTTACTGAAGATGTTGACATACTGCCTTAAATTTTAAAACTAGTAAAATGCAAATGAACTCAAAGAGCACCTGAAAACATTTAAAATGAAAGCAGTTAAAATCCACATTTGCAATACAGAACTGGGCTACATTTATTTAAAAGCAAACTGAAACATTTCAAGCCTTTAAAAGTTCATTCTAAAACTAAATGTTAAAAGCTAAAACTGTAGAAGTCAAGGAGGCACTTAATACCATGACTTTATCATTGCTTTGCAATGTAAACTTTGTAATTTAAAGTTTATGTTTTCTGTTGTTTTTAATGAAATTAACAGTCAAGCCCCCAAATCAGTAACGTAGGGAGAAGGCCTTTCTCGGTGCATTTACCCTCCTATATTTGCTGGGTGTGCTTTTGACTGAAGGGAGCAGAGCTTAACACTTCCAACCTCTTTTCTGGTCTTGATCTCAGTCCTGATCTTGACAGTAGTAGCCACAATGGAGTTTTGATTTCTGTGCTAATGTGCTATTTGCTTTTTTTTTTATCAAAAGGAGGAGCACTCAGCTTGTGCTGATGGGACAAGAATTGAAAGCAGACATGTTAAGGGGAAAAAAGGGAAATGCTTTTACTATTAACCCCTTGGCCTTTAACAGTAATAATCTGAGTGAATGAAGAGAACAATAAGAGAAGTCTATTTTGTAGTCAAGGCTGTCCTGAAGGATGGAGAATTCGTGGGAAGGATTTTGTGCAGAGTTTAAATTTAATTAGTTATAAATCAGCTGTCCTGAAGGATGGAGAATTCGTGGGAGGGATTTTGTGCAGATTTTAAATTTAATTACAGTAGTTATACATCATCATAGGCATCCTTCAGTCTCGAGAGACTATGGTAACATGTTCTGAATCGAGGAGTGTCCTCTCCAGAGCATGAAGCCCGGGTAAGGTAATATGGAGGATAGGCTGTTACCCAAGCAGCAGATCCCCCCTCTCCACATTGCTGAAATGGTCCAATGGAAAGGCAAGAGCCAATACAACTGGTTCCAGCAATGTCGCAGGAGTTGGCAGAACGACACATGCTGCCTTCGGGACTCCAGCTCCGGATTTTGCCTCGAGGTTCACTCCTGAAGCCTTTTCCATGAGTGGATATAGCCACAAGGCAGAGGAGGATTGAAATTGGAGTTTTCCTTCTCCTAGATGGGCTGCCTTCCATGGCTGACGAGCCCCACCTACCCGGCCTGCTCTTTAATAGTGCAAAAGTATGATCTGATCCTTAAAACTTTCCTGACTACCCGGCTTATGCAAATCTCATTGGCTTTCCTATTTACCATATACATCATTATCTCATATGTCTGAAGAAGTGGACTTGTCCACAGGAGCTCACATTAAAATATACCGGTCTTTAAGGTGCAACGAGGTTTTTTCTTATTATTTTTTTCTTTGTATTTTGCCTAATACAAATCACTTGGTTGCTATTAAAATTTTCAGCAGCAAATTTAAAATCTGTTATTTCAATACTAACATGATTTTTAAATCATTTCTTGTTGTGTTAACTAATTCTGCCATTTTTAGTCATTTTAAAAAGTATTTTTAAGTTTACCAGTTTAATGATTTTTCCTGATTTTAAGTTATGCCTGAAATCTTTTTGCACAGGTCTGTGCCTGCAACATTGATGATGTCACTAGCAGTAGCAAATAACAGCTGATTAAAGGCTTGCATTGGCAATTTTGGCATGCACCCATCTTCAGTGCATTGTGTTTGAGTTTTGTGTAACCCAAATCTCATTGGCTTTCCTATTTACCATATACATCATTATCTCATATATATGAAGAAGTGGAGTTGTCCACAGGAACTCACATTAAAATATACCGGTCTTTAAGGTGCAACGAGGTTTTTTCTTATTATTTTTTTCTTTGTATTTTGCCTAATACAAATCACTTGGTTGCTATTAAAATTTTCAGCAGCAAATTTAAAATCTGTTATTTCAATACTAACATGATTTTTAAATCATTTCTTGTTGTGTTAACTAATTCTGCTGTTTTTAGTCATTTTAAAAAGTATTTCTAAGTTTGCCAATTTAATGGTTTTTCCTGATTTTAAGTTATGCCTGAAATCTTTTTGCACAGGTCTGTGCCTGCAACATTGATGATGTCACTAGCAGTAGCAAATAACAGCTGATTAAAGGCTTGCATTGGCAATTTTGGCATGCACCCATCTTCAGTGCATTGTGTTTGAGTTTTGTGTAACCTAGAATTGCCATTAATTGTGATATCATCATCAGCATACGTGGGACAGTACAACAGGATTTCAACCAATATTTTTAATATTATTTATTTATTTGATTTATGTACCGTCACATTAGTGCAATGCACTATTCTGGGTGGTTCATAACATAATAAAACAAACATACATATAACAATAAATATATAACTAAACAGTAATAAAAGTTAAAACCAGTGACACCAAAAGCCACAGTTTCCATGAATTAAGCAACAAATTATTTTAAAAATCAGATATTCCTTCCATTTTAAAGGCAACAGATTAAACGTTCTTAACCATTTAACATGAAATGCATAAGCACTCATACTAATATTCCTAAACTCGGTGCCCAACCAGAAATATTTCCCTTGATTTCTTTTCTTTTGCTTGCAGAAAAGCCCAGGCAGTGTTTTATGAAAAGGGGTGCGGTGCTCTAGTTTTCCAGCTTATAACTTGGGCAAAAAATGTATTTTATTACTGCAGCCTTATTCATCGGCTGCTAAAATGATGGTTAGATTAATAGTTGGGGGCTGACCGGAAATATGGCCGTTTTTGTCACCTAGGAGTGAAACAAAGCAAAGGTGACTTTTTGAGTTTGCTAACTAGTAATCACCATGTTTGCCCATGATAACCTGAAATGATGTATATTGTTGAGATCTTATGGGACAATATGGCCTATCTGTATTTTTTAAAAGAATAAACTTTACATTACGTCAACAGGATTTTAGCCACAGAATAAGCCAAATTCTATGAAACTAGTTTTAGAAGTCTTTAAGGTAACCAGACATTTAGGAATATTGATTATAGTTCTACTTTTCTACATATCAGGATCTGAAGCAAGTTTTATGTTGAAAGTCCGCCCACTGGAAAAGTACCCCGTGGACCTCTATTATTTGGTTGATGTGTCTGCATCTATGCACAAGAATATCGAAAAATTAAACTCTGTTGGATATGATTTATCTCAAAAGATGAAAAATATTTCCCTTGATTTACACCTTGGATTTGGATCTTATGTGGATAAGACAGTGTCACCTTACATTAGTATTCACCCAGGAAGAATCCATAATCAGTGCAGGTAAGTAATTTTAAATGCATGTTTCAAAATCAAAGAAAAAATAACTTAAACCAAACTGTTTAAATGTAAGTCAGGCAGGAAAGGAAACAGTTTTTTTAAAAAAATAAGGAACAAACATTTGTATTTCTTTTATCTGCCTTGCCAAAATGCTTCCTAATATCATCTGATGTCTTTGTGAATCAATGTAATAGTTATATGTTTCCACCTAAATCTGATTGCTCCAGAGCAAAAGTCAGTAGGTTAAATACAGCATTAGTTGCACCCTTAGTGGGCCAATTGAAAGCAATGGAAATTTAGTTAGTTGTGGCTAAAATGCCCTTTTTGTTTTAATATGTATACTTTAGATCACACTGGTGTTGGATTTAGCCATATATAGTTTAGACTCAGAATTTTTGTCTGTTTTTGCTAAAGTTTCAGTTTAATGTAGCATGGTAACTGTGGTAGATATTCTTGAAGAATTCAGATGCATTAAACAATTGGAACTCTGCAAATTGGTCTTACAGACAGCTTGCAAAAACTTTTAAGGAACCTTGCAAGGAAGATTTAAAAGAATTTGCAAAGGGAAATTTCAGGCTCTTAAATTTGATAAGGATTTCAGAGCTAAATTTTAAAGGTACCACAAGACTTCTTTTGATACCTGCTGGTTTTGTTGTATCTCATTTGAAGGAAAGATTAAGTCTTTTTAAAACTATTTCTTACCATCCCTGAATGGGGTGTTAGAGTAGGGGCAGTGTCTTGGTTTTATCTTCTCTCCAGCCAGGTGTCATCCTTCATTATGGTCAAATGTTACAGGTGTCTTTGGGAGGCCAGACTTCCTCCTGGTCAAAACCATCATTTTATGATTTTAGGCGCAAAAGGCTTTTTCTTCACTTCTTGGTCACTTTTCCTGCTCAGTGATTTAAATGAGATATAGCTTAATTCATCAACGCTTAACTGTTCTTTGTTGTGATATGAAAATTACTTTGTTTGTACTTAATACAGTTAAAAGTGGAAATGGTTTCTGTGTTCAAGGAAAAATAGAGTAATATAATGAGGATAGTTTTATTAGTAGTTTATTTACTGCTAGTTTTATTTGTTTATGTTGTTCACTCATATTTAAAAAAGTCCAAGTAATATACAAAAAATGAAGATTAAAAGCATTATTACAACTTGGCTTATACAAAAAATGAAGATTAAAAGCATTATTACAACTTGGCTTAGAATGTATTTATAATTTCATTTCATCTCTTTTTGCCTAACAGTGATTACGATCTTGATTGCATGCCTCCCCATGGCTACATCCACGTCTTATCACTGACTGACAAAATAGCAGAATTCAGAAGTGTAATTAATAAGCAGAAAATCTCTGGAAATATTGATACACCTGAAGGAGGCTTTGATGCTATGCTTCAGGCAGCTGTGTGCCAGGTAAGAGGTAACTGATAATTTGCAAAAGATCTGTGTTCTGTTGCCACACTCTATAATAATTATGTGTTATCAAGTTGATTTTGAGCAAGTTCCTGTTTCCAGGAATTCCTAGAATAAAGTACTCAAAAGTAGTTTATCAATCACTTCTGATGATGGTCTGTAGAACAGTGAATGGTGGAGAGTCACTCCCTAAACACTGTGTTGCAAACACACCACTATAATGTGTATGCTCGGCACATCTCTCAGAGATTCAGCTCTCACTCTCCACTTCATGAATATTTGAATGCTGTTGTGCTGGCACTGGTGTCTATATAAGCAGGTAATTCAGTCAGTCATATGAGCAGTATTCACTGAGTGAGTTCCCCCATATCTTCCGTGATGTATTTACTTGAATCATTGTATCTTGAGTTTAGAATGTAAATATATATACATTATCTGTTCACCTTATTATTCCATTGCTTTTTTAATTGGGCTGTTTATTTACAGTTACAAGATTTAGATTTGAAATAACAGCAACCATATTAATTGCAAACCTTTTGCTAATATGAAAGATACTGTTTATGGAAATAGGCTGCCAAGGGGGTGAAAAAAAGGTTGGGAACCACTGCTGTAGGACCATGCAGATTGCCCAAGGCTATATAGGTGGGCTGTCCTATAGGAAGCACAGTGGGGAATTCCACAGAGAGGCAAAGCAGTTTAGTGTTCAGTAACTTTGTCAACTTTTCTTTCCATGCTCCTGGTCAAAGGTCTTCTGCAAATGTTTGTGGAATTTGTGAAGTTGTCAAAAGAATAGATACCACTGACACATGCAGCCACCTTAAATTCTATTTAGATAGAATGTGCAAACATTTTCTCACCCAATACAGCATTTTTTGATATAGTTCAATGTCGCCACTTGCATTTTCGCTTTGTACTGCTGTGAGCTAATATTTTTCTTTTTGCAGAGCCACATTGGCTGGCGCAAAGAAGCAAAGCGGTTACTTCTCATGATGACAGATCAGACTTCTCATCTGGCACTTGACAGTAAATTAGCAGGGATAGTAATTCCTAATGATGGGAACTGCCATTTGAAAGATAACGTGTACGTCAAAGCAACCAGTATGGTAAGGTATATGTCATATACAGTATTAACTTTGGACTGTGGCTCCCAAAGCATGAGAAAGGCCTGTGAAATGAGATGCATCTACCGAGAGCTGTGTAAACCTGCTAAATCCCTCTTTACTCAAGTTGTTTCAGGGCTTTGATTAGTTGGGGGAGGTCAGAATGGTATATTTCTCCCCAGTCAGTTCAGTGTGAGTACCTCTGGAGTCTTGCTGACTGGACTTGTTCATCTTATGAAGTGTGGTGGGTTAAAAAGAGGTTGGTTAAGACAGTTTGTTCTTCATACATTTTTTGTGTATTTTGCTTGTCTGAGATTTATATAACAAAGACTTTAGGACTTCCCAGTGAAATCATCTGTCCTCTTTCTGTTTTGGTCTGCTGTGCGTGGCAAGCTTGGATGTAAATGACTACTGCCAGCTTTTTTTCTGTCTCTCTGTTTTCTATGCATGTATTCTAAATATAAGTAAATTTGGCGAGAATCTAAACTGCCACTCGGATTATTTCTGGATAGTTTCCATGTTTGGAAGGTAAATATTCCACTCATTCTGAAAGAGTAGAGACTGAGAATGTTCACAGCCCCAGAAAGAGGTCTCCTGGATAAGGATGGGATTCTTATATTTTTTTAACTACAAATCCAATCGTTCTCCAGGCTGAGAATTCTCCCTGGCAGACACACATCTTACAGAAATCTAAGTGTGGCTCATCTGGGAGAAAGGCCTCAACAGGAAGACTACCTCTTCTTGCTCCAGTGCTAGTTAGGAGCTTTTTTTTCCTGAATACTGCCCCTTTGCCCTCCCAACCCCGGAATAAAATGCGAGACAGTGATATGGGTTAAATATGGGCCACATTTTATTAATATACATTCATATTCAAAATTTGCCATTCAGAAGGAAGGGGGGCTGCTGTAGTGCGGAAACAGTTAAATGACGTGAGCATCTAAATACTCTTAGAACAATGAAAGGGTGAGTCCCCAGCCCCAGGCTCCAGCGATATTAAAGATAGCAGGAACCTGGCTGGCTGCTAACAAACACCCCCAGACCTCGATCCCCCTTTAATTGAGGGTTGTTAGTCTGGCACTGTAATCGCACAATCCACAGTGCCAGGAGATCGGATGTACTGTTGGCTTACTTGCAATTACAGTGGGACCCACCATAAATACCTGTTTTTCCGCACTACCCGCAAGTGTGACCAAAGTTTATTCCACCAATTTGCCACAACCCTCTTCTAGTGTGGATAGGCAAAAACTCCCCCATCCACAGGCCAATCAGGAGGAAGGCCAAAATTCCTATCCGGTCCTGTAACGGCGACCCTAATAATTCACACTAGAAACAGGGAGGACGGGTGGGTGCCCAAAAAGAAGAGGGTGTTTCAGAGAGGAAAGCCTCTTTAAATACCCTGGCTTTCCCCTCCCACCCCGGAATCACATGAGACTAATCCGTCTCACAATATCCCGGGTGGAAGGCAAGGCCAGCTTCGCTGTACGAGGTCCAGGGACCCTCCAGCGACTGGATCATTTAAAAAGATTAAGAACACTTTTTGTAAAAGATACACAGACAGTGTTATTTTGGTGATAGAACCTTGAATGTCTGTCACAATATACATAGTACAGTGGTGCCTCAACTTAACATCCCGACTTTGCGACCATTTCGAGTTACGACCAGCTCCGGCTGCAAAATTTTGCTTTGACTTGCAGCCGGAGCTTCCAGTTACGAACACAAAAAGGCAGGGGGGGAAAGGCGGGAAATTCAAATTGCTAACTGTTGGTGGTGAAGAGGCTGCTTCTTTGTAGCTCTTTCGCCCCAGCAGTTAGAGAGTGTGTGATCGGAGGAGGCTTGGGATTGCCTGGCTTCTGCTTCTGAGTGAGAGTGTGTACATTTGCAGGGAGGCTTGGGGCTGCCTCGTAAGGTAAGTTGCTGCTTTTTGCTTTTTAAAAACTGCCTGTTCTGGGTGGGTTTTGCAGGGTAGGTTTGAGCTGGGCGGTTATGTTTCTGTGCTGTGTTGTTGTTTTGGTTTTTGGTGATTTTTTTTTTGCAGCCCCAGCGCCTTCCTATGGGGCTTGCTCCATTGTTTATTTTTGGTTTTTTAAATTGTTTTTTAATTTAAAGTTTTTTGCAGCCCCAGCGCCTTCGGGGCTTGCTCCGTGGTTTATTTTTTTTTTTTTTTTAAAGCCTCAGCACCTTTGGGGCTTGCTCCGCGGTTTATTTTTGGTTTTTTTTAAAGCCCAAGCGCCTTCGGGGCTTGCTCCGTGGTTTTTTGTTTTGTTTTTTGTTTTTGTTTTGTTTTGCAGCCCCAGTGCATTCCTATGGGTCTTGCAGTGTTTTATTTTTATTTATTTTGGGGGTATTTTTTTTTTTCTGGAACAGATTAATCATTTTCCAATGCATTTCAATGGGAAATGGTGATTCAACTTACAACCATTTTGAGTTACATCCATCTTCTGGAACGGATTATGGTCGTAAGTCGAGGCACCACTGTACATGTATACAAAATATAATATTGTATATACAATATACATATACCTTATGGCTGCTTTTTAAAAAATGTAAACAGAGTTTGTAAACCAAGAAGAACAAGATGAGCAGGATAGAAATCCAATAAATAAATAAATTTATTGAAAGAAAATATAAAAGAATAAGATTCTCAATAGTATAAGTTGTCAGGTTCTTTTCATACAGTTTTACTCTTTCTCCACTTTCTTTTTTCATAATTTAAACATTGGGAGTCTCAGACAGAAAGAGAGAGATCATTGCTTTTACACAAGTCCATTGCTTTTACACAAGTTCCAACAAAAACACATTTCCAAATTATTTTCACAAAAACAGCACCCCCAGCACTGCCTACACACCTCTCCTCTCTCGCTTTTTCTATGCCTCTCAGACTCTGACTTAGCAAAAACTGCTTTTATAAACAAAACCTTACTTAACTGATCTTACATCTCAACTCTTCCTTATAGCTCTTTCAGTCTTACTTAACTGATCTTACATCTCAACTCTTCATCTGCCTTATAGCTCTTTCAGTCTCTTACTCAAACTAAACTTAAACTGCTTTTAACTAACTCTCAAAATCAGTGATTCCCAACCTTGGGTAATCCAGATGTTCTTGGACTAAAACTCTAAGAAGCCTTCACTGGCCAGGATTTCTGGGAGTTGTAGTCCAAGAACGTTCGGGGAGCTAAAGTTGGGAACCACTGCACTAAATACACAACTTCAGCTAGAACTAAACTAAACTACACTGTCATACACTCTCACATACATCCCCAATTTATATATAAAACACCATCTACAGCCATAAAATACACCAAACAGGATATGTGTCCATTCACACACATTGTATCCCCTTCCCCACTGTTTTGATGGCATGTCCTGGCATACGTCCAAGTTACTGCTACCAATCAAAATGCACTCTCCATGCATATCAGTATATACTCATGTGCAGATATGCATCATAGAAGCACCACAGTATGCATGATTCATGTGCATGCATGCAACAAAGAGCATGGGACCTTCCAAAATACTGTGATCAGACTGGGAAAGGCTTCCATTGAAATCAGTGGAAGGCTTTTTCCAAAAAACAACTGATTGCCAAATATGCTTAATTTTGTAACAAACATTAATGGGGGGGTGAACTGTAATAAATAAAAATGTGGTGAAATTACCCAAATTAATTAGGGATGACCCATGGAAGAGTATTATGAATGCACAATACATAAAGTGACAAACCTTGCCGCTTATGTAACACTGCCACCTGATGGATAATTGATTTAAATATACAAGTAACCACTTAAAAGCAAAGGATGACAACATGTTTATATCACTGCCATTAAGCTGTCATTAATGCTAAAAAGTGAGAAAAATAATATAGTCATTACTTATAAGCAGGTGTAGCCTATAAACTATAAATGGGAATGGAGTTTCTTACTCTGAAATAGCAAGAGACATGGCAACAGAATGTTTATCGTGAAAGTTGTTAGAACAGCCAAAAGATTATGATGAGGCACCAAATCATCAGCAATGGATTTTATATAGACATTTAATTATAGCCTGCCCAATTTGGGTGAGAATATCATGTATTGATTTTGTGTGTTCTTAACATGCTTAGAGGCTAAATATTTTTTTTTTACCTTATATAATTTTATTTTTAGAAACTGATTCATTTTAGAGACATGTTCTCTATATTTATAGGTTATAAGCAGGGTCAAGGTATTCGCCTGGGGAGAGAAGATTTTGCCCACCCCCACCCTCCTCCACATCCCTCTGTAGGAATTAGGCATGAGGGAAAATCCTTCCTTCAAGGCTTTCCCTAAGTTTATCTACAGTATCTCTTTGTGTATTGGGGGTGTCTCATGCTGCAGCTGTACCCCATTCCTGCCATCAAGCTGCAGTTAGACTTTCCAGAAAACTTTGAAGTGTTTTTTCCAAGCCATTTTGAGTGTTGGAGGGGTGCAAGCTGGATGGGATTGTTTCATAAATTAGTCATTGCGAGCTTGAGGTTTACAGAGTTAAATGAGCCTGCACTAAATGGGACTAAGCTGGGATCCAGCTCAGTGGATTTTTAGATGAGGTCAGCTGGAATCCCAAATGCTGTATGTTTCTAAAATTCAGTAGAACTATGCAGAACATCTGATAGCGGTTTCAGCAGGGCTGTAATGAATACACCAGGAGGAGGAAGGGGTGCAAATATCCTGAGCTGGGCAACACAGAGAAAGATGTTCTGTGATGTGTACTCTTAAAACTGCCCAGTAAATCAGTTACAGTAAGAAATCAGCAAACGTTTGTAGTCACAGGAGCCAGTGACTATCTGAAGGGGGTGTGCCCCCGGTTATGCTGTCCAGTGCCAGGGTAGACCGGAGGGTCAGGGGGGAGTTGCCATTGTTTTATAACGACACCTTTGAGGTTGTCAGGCTCTCTGCTGTGGCAATACCAGGCCTAGAGCCCTCCACGTGTTGATAGGGGAAAGGGACGGTATTGGGATCTTGCTGGCATACCATGCTCCCTACGATCCAGCCACCTCCCTAACCGACTTAGTCTCTGCGGCTCTTTGGGATCCCCAAGACCGATTGTCTTGGGTGATTTCGGCATCTATACGGAGGTTACTGGTCCATCTCTTGAGTTCTTGGAAACCATAGCTTCCTTGGACATGTCCCAACATGTTAACGGCCCCACGCACGTGGGTGGCCACACTTTGGACCTGGTTTTCTCCACTGAGCAGAGAGAGTGTAGCCCGATGGTGACTGACCTTTAGTTGGTCCCCTTGTTGTGGTCGGACCACCATCTGATAAAATGTAATTTCATAGTGGCCTTCCCTCCCCATGGGGAGCAGAGACCTGTTTTCATGATCAGCTCTTTCAGGCTATTGGATCCTATTGGATTCCAGGATGCCATGCATGGGATTCCGACTGACCTGGCTGGAGCTCCTGTCGAGGCCCTGGTGGATGGATGGCATGGCTAGGGCTGTAGACATGATCGCTCCTAAATGCCCTCTCTGCCTCAGAGCCCAACCAGCGCCTTGGTTTAACCAGCAGCTGTGGGCTATGAAGTGGAACAGGAGAAGGCTAGAGAGCATCTGGAAGTGGAACCCAAGGGATAATAGCTTAAAAGCTGCCAAGGTCACGTCTACCTTACTCTGGTAGAGGCTGCTAGAAAAGCTTATTTCGTTGTCCGGATAAGCGAAGCATTCAATCAGCAGGCGGAACTTTTCCGTATAGTACGCAACCTATCTGGAATTGACCACAACAATTGGCTCCATTTAGCATTTCTCGTGAACAATTTGCAGCATTTTAAAAATCAAAAGTGGAGGCTATCCGCCGATATCTCGCACCCTATTTGAAAACAGTGGATTGAGCTGAGACATCCAGCACAGCGCCTTATCCATTGAGAATTACTCAGTTTCAACCTGTGATATCTGCAGAGGTGGACAAGGTCCTTGACCGCTGTCGAGCCACCACCTCCTCTCTTGACCCTTGCCCAGCTGGTCTAATCAAAGCCGCCAGGCCAGTGATAACTGAATGGGCCACTGAACTAATAAATGGGTCTCTTCTTGAGGGCAAGGTTCCTCTTGCCCTTAAGGAAACACTCATTAGACCCATTATGAAAAAAACGGGCTTGGCAGTGGATAACATTGGCAATTATAGGCCTGTTGCCAATGTGCCTTTCCTTAGCAAGGTAGTTGAGAGGGGGGTGGCCGACCAGCTTCAGGCTCTCTTGGATGAAACCGATGCCCTGGATCTATTTCAGTCGGGCTTCAGGCAGTGCCATGGCACGGAAACGGCATGATTGCCCTGCTGGATGATCTACTTAGGGAGGCCAATAGGGGCAAAATGTCCTTGCTTGTCCTCCTTGATATCTCAGCCTCCTTTGATACTGTCGACCCACGTTATCCTCCTGGAGAGGTTCTGCAAGTTGGGGATTGGTGGCCTTGCTCTTGCTTGGCTCCGGTCCTTCTTGGAGAGCCATCCCCAGAGAGTTCAGCTTGGGGAGAATGTATCGACCCCGTGGTCCCGCAGTTGTGGGGTTCCGCAGGGTTCAGTCATCTCCCCAAAGCTATTTAACATCTATATGAGGTCGTGGGGGTCATCTGGGAATGTAGAGCTTCATGTCACCAATATGCTGATGACACCCATCTCTGCATCTCCTTTTTTCCATCTGTAGTGGATGCTGTTCCGTCCCTTGGACGCTGCTTGGAGGCCGTTCTGCAATGAATGCTATCAAATGGATTAAGGTTGAATCTGGACAAGACAGAGATCTTGCGGGTGGATGGCCCCAAAGTCAGTGGTTTGGGGAATTCCCTCTCTTTTGGGAGCATGACTCTCACCACAAAGAATTCAGTTTGCAGTCTGGGGGTCCATTTTGACTTGGCGCTTACCATGGAGACCCAGGTAGCATCCGTGGTTCGGTCTGCCCACTTACATCTTTGGCGGATCGCCCAGCTGCGTCCCTATCTAGACACGGGGGCGCTCACCACGCTGGTCCATGCACTCGTAGTCTCAAGAACAGACTGCTGTAACACTCTCTATGTGGGGCTTCCTTTGAGACTGATGTGGAAGCTCCAGATCGTCCAGGCTATTAAAAGGGGTGAAAAGATTTCACTATATTTCCCCCACCCTGGCTGCCTTACACTGGCTACCTATCCACTTCCGCATTGATTTCGAGGTGCTAACCATTACATACAAAGCCCTTAATGTTTTAGGCACTCAATACTTGGCAGAGCACCTTCTTCCATCCAGTTTTACCTGTATCACCCATTCCAGTCAGGCTGGGCAGCAGAGGGGCCTCATGCCAAGAGAGGTCCAGCAGGAAAAAAACTAAAAATTGGGCCTTCTCAGCAGTGGCCCCTCGCCTATGGAACAACCTACCTGTAGAGATCTGCCTGGCTCCCTCACTGAGGGCCTTCAAAACTAACCTGAAGACATGGGTATATAAGCAGGCCTTTCTTATAGCCATTACCTAGCCTATATTCCATTTACCATTTCCCCCCTCTTTCTTCTTTTTTCCTTTCCCCATCTTGGACTTTGTGATTAATTTGGATTTTACCTTAGTTTATTTTTTATGTTATATGTAAGCCGCCCAGAGTAGACACATTCCATATGGGCGGTATATGTGATGGGCGGTATATAAGCCTAATAAATAAAAATGAATGAATAAATAAATATTCATAGAAACTGACACACAAATAAGGCATTAAGAGCAATATATTATTACAAAATCCTCTATTAATTGGTTCTAAAATTAACACTGATGTTCTAGTGGCTGATGCAAATCCAAGCAAACCTCTGTGGGATTCTTGGCAGCCAGCATACTTTAGCAGTTTTTTCCACACCCCATTCATGTTGGGTTAGAAGAAAACTTAAAACAGGACACATGGTAGCTGCCCTTCCTATCTTCACACACACACACCTTTATTGAGGTGTACTCTTCCCTCCCTAGATAATAGCCTGTACTGTCACAGTAGACCAGGATGGTCAAAGATGTCTCTGTATCTAAATTGTGTTGACAGGGAATACCCCCAAACTGACTTGCTGAGCTACATTTACTTGACATGCTTCAACCTGACTCTCATTTTGAAGTTCCCAAGGAGGTAAGAGCCATGCTGGAACAAAGCATAGGTCTCTCTGGCCCACCATGGCCAATTAGATGTTTGTGGGGAGCCCACACAAAGAAGAGATGTGTAGTAACACTCTCCTATTCATGTTCCTCTATCGCACTAGTATGCAGGGATATGTTGCCTCTGATACAAGGCGTAGTTTATAGCCGTCATGACTAACAGATAGTGATTCAGGCCGATCTCTTGAATCATAGTTTGTTGTGGTGTCCGTACGCATTGAGAAATTGCTGTGTGACTTCACATAATTTGTACTGGCCCTAAACCTCATTCTGTTTCAAGCATTTAAAGGTTTCTCGTAAAAGTATTGCAATTCTATAACTGCAAAGTTTCATGTTAATTTCACATCCATAGTATTCTATATGTATATTATATTCATCTATGAAATTCAAAATATATGTTCCCTTTTGCAATTTATAGGAGCATCCATCTCTTGGCCAACTTTCTGAAAAGCTCATCGACAACAACATTAATGTAATTTTTGCAGTCCAAGGAAGCCAATTTCACTGGTATAAGGTATTTTTAAATATCAGAATTTTTTGGTTATGTAAAGTACAATAACTACACAGGGATTGTAACTGTAAGACTATTCTTTCATAGGATCTTTTGCCTCTGCTTCCTGGAACGGTTGCAAGACAAATAGAATCACAAGCAGCCAATCTTGGTGATTTGGTGGTAGATGCCTACAAGGTACTGTATATGCTTTTCAAGTTCATGTACAGTTGTATTTCCTTTTTTTCTCTTTCTTATTTGTTTTAGGAAAGCATCAAGTGTTTGGGTTGCAGATGAGACACAAAATATGGCATGATGGTCAGGGAATACTTTCTATTATAATGAAAGTTGTGTGCCCTCAAGTCAATTCTGACCTACAGCGACCTTTTTCGGGGTTTTCTAGATAAAAAGTACTCCCAAAATGCTTTACCATTTTCATCTTCTGGGGGACATCTTGGGATTGTTCAGTTTACCATGGGCCACACGGACTGGCTGTACTCACAGGAGGCACAGTGGGGAATCGAATTTCCAACCTCTGGCTCCATGACCAGATACCTAATTTGCTGAGCTATCCAGCTAGCTCTTTCTGTCTATACATATATAAAAATACACTTTTTTTCTCTTGAGTTAAGGGAGTTAGCAGGGTTCTCTTCAACTGACTACTGTGAGGAGAACAAGTGGAAGCTAGTCCATTCCATCCCTCCCCTTTGAACAGTCAGCAATCTACTTCTGGTCCCTCACTCATAAGTGGTGGCTGGTTCTTATTGGGATTAATGGGGCAGAAAGCACAGCAACCAATAGCTGTTGGAGGCAAGAGAGGGCAACCATCTGTTAATGGTTGGTGCTTCCCTTTTATTCCTCCCAGCCTCACGTTCATACACAATGTGAGACTGGAAGCTCATCAGTAAGGGAACACAGTTGAGGCCCTGACCCTTCCCCCTCTCGTTAGGAGTCAGAAAAGAGAGGGCTGACTAGGCATAGTCTTAGTCTGAGATGTTGTAGCATCCCACTTGCCTTAATCCACCAGCCACTAGGAATGGGATTTGAGATATATACTGTATACAGTTGTGCCCCACTTAACAATTACCCCGCATCACGACAAATCTACTTCACGATGATGTTTTTGCAATCGCAATTGCAATCGCAAAACAATGTTTTAAATGGGTTTTTTTTTTTTTTTTTTGCTTTGCGAAGATTGGTTCCCTACTTCAGGAACCGATTCTTCGCATTACAATGACCAAAACAGCTGATCCTTGCGTTTTCAAAATGGCCACCGGGTGCTCAAAATGGCTCCCCGCTGTGCTTAGGGACGGATTCCTCGCTATACAGGCACCGAAAATGGCTGCTGTATGGAAGATCTTCGCTAGACAATGAGTTTTTAGCCCATTGGAACACACTAATCGGGTTTTAATGCATTTCAGTGGGTTTTTTATTTTCGCTTTACGGCGTTTTCTCTTTACAGCGATTTCACTGGAACGAATTAACGTTGTTAAGAAAGGCACCACTGTATATATTTACCATAACTACCAGAATTCAGCACAGATTCCCTCAGATCGAATTCTGGAGGTTTTGGCCACAAAATCCAAGTTCTCAGATGAGTTGCAGGATCCTCATGTGTTCCTTGCAAAAGGCTTTCTCTGCAGACGGCCATTAAAGCATGGACATGGGTGGAGCCTTCTAAGCTCCATGGGATAAGCAAAGCATTAAGGAGTGGTAGTTTTTTTAAGACACATCCTCTATAAGGCCCGATGAACAGAGAGACTGCCAGGGACAATAGTATTTGTGTTCATTAGGCCCTGTAAAGTTGCCTCTCAAAAAACGGCCACTCCCCTAATGCTTTGATGATCCCATGGAGTTTCAAATGCTTCATCCAAGTCCATGCTTTAATGGTCATCTGCAGAGAGCACCCTGGTGAGGAACAGGTAAGGATAGTTTTTATAAGAATTATCCCTGAGACAACCTGGAAAATAGGGCTTGTTCTATGTGAATAAAATGTAGGTGTATATAGGTGTTTGTAGGTGTACATTTATGGGCAAGAAATCAGAGTTCTGTCTGTGGAATTCTTGAAGAATTCTAGGGGTTGGAGTTCCGACAGCAGCATGTATTGAACTGGTGCCCAGATACTACTTGCGTGTATATACGGACATGGTGCCAAAGTAAGAAATGAATGTATAAGCTTGTCTTGCAGCATTAGAATGGAATATAGGCTTACTGTAAACACTGAACTGTACCACTCTAGAATTTGCTTGAAAACACAGTAATTGCTATCCTGGTTCTCCTGTTTTTCAGGATTACAAGTTCCACTGGTATAACTGAGAGTCCTTATGCTGAAAACAATTCAATCCTTTATTCAGAGAAAGACTGTTCATTTCAGCTAAATCCACTGAGTCAGGCATGCTAATGTTTACTGAATGCTTACGTTAATACGTATTGCCATGCAGTGAGATGGAATTCTTTTGTTTTTTGTTCCAGAAGCTACTCTCTGAAGTGAAAATTCAGGTGGATAATATAGACAAAGACATAAATGTCAAAGTTACTGCACTGTGTCCCGACGGAAGCAGAAAAACAGGCTTGGAAGGATGCAAAGATGTAAAATCCAGTGCTGAAGTATGATTAAAGAAGAAGAAATACTTTGTTAATGCTTTTTATAATGGTTTTCTGTGGAAGAGGGTCTTCATGTGGATTTAAAATTCAATTTCTCTGGGTCATAGTCATAGGCCCTGTACACAGTTTTTCAATTCATTTCTTCAGAACTTTATTTTAAATTAGATTGAAGAATAAACATTTCTGCTTATTGTTATCAATAAGCTCAAGCCAAGCTTGCAAATGATTTTTTTAGAATTGGTTTTCCTTTATGTACTTCGTTTGCTTGCTCAGACTTTTTAAGTCTCCATTGTCTAAAGTCTTTTAAATAAATGGTGTGTAAAGGCATGTCGTTATTTTGAAGAATTGTGGCTAGCCGTTTTATTCAGCAGAAGGAAGCAACAGTCAGACAAGTAATTTGGCATAACACGGAAGGGCAGCTAATTGCCAGTTATTTAATTTATTATTGTATTTTTGCACCTTATGAGAGTTTCTTTCTCAGAGGCCAAAGTAAATTGAGTTGCTGTGGCTGCTGCACAGTTTAAATTAGGATGGGAGAGTGCCACAGCCATTCAACCTTAGGCAGCGGCACGTTTTTTGTTGAGGGGGGGGGCTCTAGGAAAGTGAGTACAATTGAAAACAATGTGAACAGTTTTTAAAACCAAGTTCCTAACAGATGGCCTTAATTGTCATCGTTAACTATTCCAACGCCTGTTATTTCAATATCCATTTAGCAGTTTATGCATACTGCTCCTAAAGTAATGTGAGTTGCAGAATGAGTTTCTGGATGCCAATTTCTCCATTTCCATCTTGGTTTGTTTACATGATGCTTCTCTGCAAAAAGAGACAGGGAAACCTTATGCAGATTAGAGAGTTCATAAACATATCCCAGCCGTACATTTGAAATTGGGACGAGTAAACAGGAACATAGAATCACATGTCCAGGCTGAAGTTGTCACTGTCATAATTAGAGATGGGAGTATTCGTATACGAATATCCCTGCACAGGAGGACATAACGAGGGTCCAGCCCCCTGGGGTCGGATGGTCCACTCACCGTTCTGCTGCTGCTGCGACCTCCACAGAGATCGTGTTCAGCGAGCCACTCTTCTACCTAGTAGAGAGGCTTGTCGTCCTGACTCCTGCCAGGAGTGGCAAGCTGAATGCGATCTTTGGAGTCACTGGACGGTTTTACGGAGGCTGCTGCAGCAGCAGAACGGGGAATGGACCGTTTGGCCCCAGGGGGCTGGATCCTTGTTATGTCTACCTGTTCAGGGGTATTCATATACAAATATGAATACCCCCATCTCTAGTCATAATCATCAGAAGTAAATTGCCAATGCACAATTAAGGCCCAGACTGTGTAGTTTTTGTGGGGATTTCACAGCACTGCAGTTTTGCTTTCACCTGAAAAATAGTGATAGCGTGCAAAACTTGCTTTTCAAAAAATGTTCACATGCACAGAGTTAGTACTGCACATCAGCTTTTTGTCAATAGTCTCAAAAAAGCAGTATGCACCTCATCATGTGATGGTCACAAATGTCCTTTTGTGTAAGAAGTGATCCTAGGAGAGAAATAAGATCTAGCTAATGCTTCAGGAATTCATGTGGTGATTAATTTTTCTGAGCCATCTTGCCTCATTTATAAAATGGCTAAAAATAAAGAATTTGGTGAAGGAGTAATGACAGGTGACTATTTTTCTTCTGGAAATCTTTACAGTGGTGCCTCACTTAGCGATGTTAATCCGCGCAGAAAAAATCACTAAGCGATAAGATCGCTACAGTAAGTGAAAATAAAAACCCATAGAAACGCATTGAAACGCGATTAATACGTTGCTGTGGGCTTAAAACTGACCTTTAAGCAAAGATCCTCCATAGGGGCGGCCATTTTCGGTGCCTCTTAAGCGAGGAAACACAGTGGGCGGCCGTTTTGTTTACCCGGCGGCCATTTTGAAACTGCCAATCAGCTGGCCGAAAATGAAGGGTTTGCAACGATTGCTTCCCTGCGATAATAGCAAAGTGAAGTTTCCCCATAGGGACCATCACAAAGCGATCGCTTTTGCGATGGCAAAAAGTCCATTGCAAAGCGATTTCATCGTTATACGGAGCGATCGCTATGCAAGGCACCACTGTATTTGAAAAATACCATTTTGTGTTTTCTACTGTTCCCCTAAAACGTGGGACTACATCTGATGTTATAGGAGGTAAAAGCGATCGCTATGCAAATACTGTATAATTTATAATACTGTATAATTATTCTTGCAGATACTTTTTAATATCTCTATCACCCTGAAAGAATGTGGGACAGGTGACAGAAGGACCTATGTGATGGTAAAACCCCTTGGTTTCAATGAATCCACCAGAGTTAATATAAACAAAAGATGTGCTTGTCAGTGTGAGGAAGGCATAAAGTCAAAAAGGATATGTGTCGATGAAATGTCTCACGATGCTCAAATGTCCAACTGCAAGGGGAGCGTATGTGGTTCCAGCGATGAAGTCTCTTCTGAGCAATGCAAGATGCAAAAGGACCATCTGATTTGCAATGGGCAAGGAGACTGCGTAGCTGGGAAATGTATCTGCCACAAAACCAAACTTGGCATAATATATGGCAAATACTGTGAAAAGGATGACTTTTCCTGCCCACATTACCTTGGAAACTTGTGCGCTGGTAAGTGCCAGAATACACCTGCTCAGTTTGTAGTTGCCTTTACAAAAATATTCATTAAGTGCCTTAAAGCTAAGGCTCTGATTGAATAACTCTTACAGCATGATTATTTTTCCATTCATATATGCCTCTGCAGCATTATAGTTTGAGAAGATTAAAATTGTCCTATAAACATACTGTTTAAAACTTACCTTTAAAACTTTTGAAGTGATTCTAAGTAGTCTCTTATTGGATAGATTTTTCAGGCAGGCCAGCTATAGCAGTAATTTATTCAACAATGCCCTTGACAACATCACATCTTTCTATACCTCCTGCTGGAGAATCTCAAAGAAGTAGTCCTCATACCAGATGCTAGTAATTATGCACACATTTGATGCACCATTAGGGAACTTCAGGTGAGCTGTGTTTATTCTTAACATCTGTCTTCAGGAAGGCTTGCTAGTGATTCAGATGGATGGTGCTACGTAACACCAGATGGAAAAGAAGTTTCAGTTGCTCACCTTGAGCTGTTGTCCTTCACAGATTCCAAAAAAATAATGGGAAGATCCTTTTTAAATTGTTGTACAGTTGCAAATAGTATTCTACTAAGTGAATGTATTGTCCAGACATTTGTACACCTACAAGAGTATTCACATGACACAATGTTAATTTTTAACTGATCAGGGTCCATCATACAGAATGGGATTTGTCAATTAGTGAGGCATGTAATATTCTTTGCTAAGAGCTCTAATTCATTTCTGTAAAGCAAATTCTGGACATTTCATTAAAATGCACATCTCAGGATTCCATAGGATGGAGCCATGGTAGTTGAAGTGGCAGGAAACTATTGTAACAGAATAGTGTTAGATACAGTTGATGTACAGATTGTTGCACAAGAGCAATCGTTAAAAGTGAACAGATTATGGCTGGAGTCTCATGGCTGTGGTTTTCTTGATCCAAGTCTGCTGGGCAATATTTTTGTGCTTCATTTTTGTAGTTAGTGTCTTCAGTGCATGTAAGATTCTTATTCATTAAAAGCTGAATCCTGAAAAAAAATCTTAATCTTTTTTTAAAAAATTCTGTTATTCCACTACATGGAATAGAAAATATTTTTCCCTTAACTATTGTTAGAAACAATACATGATTTGAAATACATGCACTCCAATGTATCTCAGTCAGACCTAATCAAATACATCTTTAAATTCTCAAGCATTTTGTTCTTGTCAAGAACCCATTGATTCTTTCTCTGTTCTTGTAGGCAATGGTGAATGTGAAGCTGGCAAATGCAAATGCTTTGCTGGCTGGGAAGGTGATCGCTGTCAGTGTTCATTATCATTACAAAAGCACTGCATTAATGGAAATGGCCAGATCTGCAGTGGAAGAGGAACATGCCTGTGTGGAAGGTGCAGGTGCACTGAGCCCAGCAGTTTGGGCCGCTTATGTGAATTCTGCCCCAATTGCAGAACAGCTTGCAGTGACAAGCGGTATGTTTGTGCCGACTAAAATGTCACTTGGTGCTTTTAATATGTGTTGTGCCAAAGCAGACGTGGACATTGTACACCCCATTGCATCTCAAAGTCTTTACTCGAATCCATGCAGTATCCTATTATGAACTTGTGTTACTTCACCAATGGTTCCAGGAGGAAAAAGAAAACCAAGAGGCCTTCCATAAAAGCATAACTGTGGTATTCAAGGTAGTTGATATTATATTGATTGCTAAGGGTTGACTCTTGTGCATTAATGCACTTTACAACCCACAGACATCCATCCCTTAAGTAGAGTTTTTCAAGGATATAAAAGACTACATCTCCCTCTGTGAGCCTGTTCAGGAATTAAGATCATCAGGAGAGGCCTTTTTCTTGGCCTTTTCCACCTTCACAGGCATACTTGGATCAGGAGAGGCCTTTTTCTTGGCCTTTTTCACCTTCACAGGCATACTTGGGGACACGAGAGAGGGTTTTCTCTGTTGCTGCTCCCGGACTGTGGAACTCCCTCCGACTAGGCTGGCCCCATTTTTGCTGTCCTTCTGCAAATGGGCAAAGTCCTTTTTCTGCAGGTGGGCTTTTCCTTTAGTGACTGGCAGCCTGAGAGGTGTTTTTTGTTTTTGTTTTTAGAATTGATTTGTTGTGCTCTATTGTTTTTAAATGTATTTTTAGCATTAATTTTATTGACTATTATTAATATAATACGTTTAATACTTTTTAAATATTTATATACTCACCATTTTTAGCTTGTAAACATTGTCTTTTCATTGCTGTAAGCTGCCTTGTTTTCTTTTAGGGAGAAAGGCATGATAACAATATTTTAAATAAGTAAATGTAAGAGAGTCTATCCCAGCCTACTGCCCTCCAAAAATCTGGACCGCAACTGCTATTTCACCTTTGACCATGCTGATTGGGCCAGATGGGAATTATAGTTAAAAGCAGGGTATGGATTCTTATAAAATGTAGTTCTGGCCACTGTACGATACAGAATGACTTTTGAGTTTAAAAACCCTCAATTTTTGTGAGAGGGAAAAAAAAGGAGAAGTCAGAGCAGGTTCCCTCCATTTTCCAGGGATGGGTTTGTGTGACCCCAGTCTTCTGGAAATTACCCACCACTAGCTTGTACTATCCTGTAGCTTAATTTTGGCATCTTGACATCTCTTGTTTGAAGCAACCTTGGGTGCTGTTGTCCTTGCTCTTCTTGTTGCTTATAGGAGTAAAAGAAAATGCTGAATTTGGTTCCCTTTGTAGAGTTGTGTAGCACAAAAGATACACTGAAGGATTCATTCCATTTCATTTTGCTTTGCAGGAATTGTGCACCCTGTCACTCCAATTCGTCTCAGATGACACTTGACCAGTGCAAAACCTCATGTGCTTACAGAGTGCATTATGTGGAACAATCTTCAGGTAGGTTTTTTAAAAAGGCCTGCCTACATTACTAAGAGACCTGGGACTTCTTCTGCATGAAACTTTTTTTATCTTCTCCTGTTGGTTTTCTTGATGTGTCGTTTCTTGTATAAGATGTCACAAGTGTAGTCAAATGGTGCATTTAGGATATAGCCTTTCAACTTCTGCCATTCTTCCCCTTGAGACACCACTAACATGTTACAAGAATGCTTAATGTTAGGGCAATGCAAAGGTCCCATGATTTGGTTCAGGATCCAATTGGGGTTTGGTCCAGATTTGTTTAGACAAATTCAGATCCAATTCAGACCCCAATAGTTGAAATTCAGAAATCCAAATCTCCCGGTGATTTGCATTACAAAGTTAGAACAGCTAAAACTGTTATGTTTTTTCATACCTCTTAACATTCTCCCTTGAGCTACAAGGAAAAACAAAAAGGGTTGTTGCTTCTGGAGGATTTGATTGTGGTTAAGTGTGTGAAATGTGTATGTATGAAATGGAGAGGGAATAAAGGGACAAAAAAGTGCTAGGCTTCTTCAGGTTTTGTAATGATCAGTAGGGGGTCGGGCACATGCATAGAGGCAGCAGGCCTAGTTCCTGGAAGGGAAGCTGGCCCACCGTTTCTGGCCAAAGTGGCAGAGGCAGCATCAGAGGAGGAGGCTGCAGGACCAGGTAGGAAGGCGATGAGAGCAATGGGAAGGGGGCGGACGGATATGTGTGCACCAAGAGGTCAAAGGTTTGGCACTTTCAGCAAAACAGGATCCCGAAACTGGGTCATGAACCAAACCATGAACCAGCCCAGTTCATCAGTTTTTCTGGTTCATTGTTCAGCTCATACCCATCCATAGTGGATACCCAATCTATCTGAAATGCACAGGAAAAATTTTAAATCTTATATAGGCTTACTTCCAGAGGGATTGATGAAATGAAACTTTTGGAATTATCACCATAGTTTGAGGGTTATATAGGAACCATTAGTGTGATCTCGGATACAGCTGTAAATGTATTGGCTGGAGAGTACTGAATGTTTAAATAATAGTGTGCCATCAGGTTGATTCCACTTGCCAGGGTTCCTTAGATATGGAACATTCAGAAGTAGTTTGTGCTAGTTCCTTCTTCTGGTGGCGCTCTAGAAAGGTTACAGCTAGCGCAAAGCTACACCGGCTGGCTTTTTTTTCTGAGAGATGCAGTGAGAATCAAAATCCTGCTCCTTGACTCCATAGCCAGGTCCTTTAATTTACTGACATATTTAGCCGGGTTTTCAATGCCCTGTAGGTCAATGGAGACTTGACTTACAGACTTTTTGACTTGAGAACCGCCTTCTAATACGGATTAATTTCTCAAGTCAAGACCCCACTGTACTGACATATCTAGCCAGCTATAGTATGTTTAGAGGGAGGGGATGATCTTTTCTTTGACCTCGGCAAAGTCCCTGGTGTGCCCAGAATTTTGGCTGTGAAAGAGGAGATTAGCAAAGCATGTATTTGGTTTCAGCTGGTGTGTTTTTACATACTAAAGCATCTTGGATATCAGGATTTTAACTGCAGACCTTCCTTATCTCCCTTGCTTTAGATATTACTTTTAAAAAGTAAGATATTTTGTATAAACAGGATAGTAATGACAAATTCTTGTGTATCATACTACAGTTTTGTTTGTGTGTTTCATTTACTGCATGGCTCTTTTGGGGAAATTTTACATATAATTTTCCTGTTACAGAATGCATCTCTGATGATCCAAACCACTTCAGGATATTTTCCATCATCTTTATAGTTACATTTCTGATTGGTTTGCTCATTGTGCTTATAATCCGGCAGATAATTCTACAGTGGAACAATAACAAAATTAAATCATCAGCTGATTACAGAATATCTGCGAAGAAAAAGGTAAGCAGATCATGAATGATCTTGCTGAACATAAAATGCTAGCTATTTGAGAGATTCAGTGACAACTTGTTATTTTCTCCTTCAAGGATAATACATTCTTGCCTACTGTTTGTACAAAAACAGTAACTTACAGGCGAGACAAGCCTGAAGACATAAATATCAACACCAGCAAGTTCCAAGGAAATGAAACTTTTAGATGCAACTCCTGAAGACTGTTTGCTTCAGCGTTTTTGGGTTCACGGTCAAGTAGTTTATTTAAAGACTTTGCCTGAAAACTTTGGATGTTTCTAGTTTTGAACACTGTAATGAAAAACTGACCTGGAAGTCTAGTTGCACAACAACATGGATTCAAGTAGAGCTGCTCCATCTTGGAAAACAAATGTGCATTAACTACTGATTAACAGAATGACATTACCAATTAGCTGAATACAGAGATGTTTTGATTGGGAGTCAATTCAGTCCCATTTGAGGTCAGTAGGATCAGATTGGTTTAAATTTGTTCTGGCTTAAGTGGACTTCAGATCAGTTCACAACACCACTCTGCATTGTAGCACTTTAATGTAAAGGCATTTTTTTTTATTTGTGGCATAGAATGTTAATCTAAACTGGTATGAAAAAAAAAGCACTGGTCTCACTTTAGAGATAGCTAACACAGGTTTAGTTTGTGGCAGGCATTCTCAAACTGTGTTTAAATGTAGTTAGTACATATCAGTGACAAATCAGTTGTCAATTCTTTGTCCTGTCCTGAGCACTGGGAGCAAGCAGGTGAGAGGATGGGCTGTGAGGATATGGCTTAGGGGCCCCTGGAGAGAAGAAACTGCCAATTTAAAGTCCTGCAGAAAAAAGTACCATCAGTAAATTACTACCATCACTCCTAGAATTGGCGATTTAAGCCTCAATTATCTGTATTGCACTAATTTTGGAGGAGGCTGAATGAATGTGTTTTCAAAAAGATGTTAAAGCTGCAGTTCAAACCATCTTTTCTCTGAAGCAATCCCTACTGATTTCTCTGGGCTTGACCTGCAATTATCTTGGACTACAAATGTTCAGGAGCTGGCATGGGTCTGGGGGAGAGCTTCTTCCTCCTGGCAATTATGTACCCCTCCCTAGAGACACCCATATCCTGAAGAACCACTGCTCTGTATGGAGTAGCAAGTCAGGTGATAACACTAACTGTGGTGTACTTAAAAGAGCACCAGATAAAGCTGCAAGCATGATTGCATCCAAAGCACATGTTGATGACCGTTTTTTATGCATACCGACTGTTCTGAAATTGTTGCTTCGAGGTCTTTCTAAAATTTCTTTTTAAAATACTGGAATAAACAATGGTTTAACCACTACTGGATTTTTTAAAAAGTGGATTTGTGTAGGGGTTTATAGTTACTTAGGAATAAATTCTGTGCCATCTATTATTCCATATATTAAATACATTAGCAGAGCAACCCTGTAATTAAATCAGAGCACTCCAAGGTCAACATGACCCAGAGTCATTTCAGACCTGTGTCATACAGCAGAACTTGGCATGAACTGTGTTTTCCTTTTATTCCTTCATTTGATAGCAGAGCATCCCATTTTTCTCCCACTGAGAAGAATGGCGGAGAGATCAGTTTAGACCCTAAATATTTTAGGCATATAGATGATACTCGGAAGGGCTTTGGATCCTGTGGATTCTTAGTCTCCCTTCCTCCCCTGTGCCATAGCCTTAATTATTCTCTTCCTCCTACTTTCTGTTGTTGGAGAAATGGAGGGCTGCAGGTCTTTTTGTAGGGGAGGATCTGCAATTGAATATCTGCAAAGATTGGAGTCATTTCTTCAAATAACAAATTAGGGGGTTTCTAATGTGTTCTATTGTTCCTGGGATTCTGTTCCCTTAAAGAACTGAACTTAGTTTGACTAGTTTCTATATATATTTAAATATATATACATATATTAAATAAATATATATACATATATTTAAATAGTTAAATATCTATATACATTCTGCAATCCTGGTAATATTTTGTTACTGAAATGTCATCAAATTAAGCACTCTGTCTCAACCAAAAACCTAACATAAGCAGAGTTGCCTGCGAGTTGAACTCGACAGAGCAAACTTCTTGGTAGTCCTATAAAGGATTGCACTGTTAATGTCTATGAATGAATGGCACTTGAGTTATCATTTGACTATGTTATTGGAAATTATGTGCACATGCATCCCATTCAGGGAGATTCCTGTAGCATTGGAATAAATAGGTGCAACTTGCACATCTGGAACTGTGCACTGTGATCCTGTGGACCTTTTGAATTCTGATAGAAAAATTATTTAATTTTTAGATTTTTTGGAAATGTGCTCCACTGAGAATAAAATGCTCAAACTGCACAATTGTAGCACTTTTAGGATTGTCTATTATTCTTTAAAAAAACTCCAACAACCCCACAATGTAATTTCCAGAAGCAACCTAGCTGTTTTGAATTTTTTTTAAATTTCTTTCTCTCTCACCCCCATTTTACATAATCTTGAATGAAGGTACCAAATAAGTTAAATGTCAATAGCAGCATCCTGACATCTGTAATTTCTCCATAAAAATATAAGATTTTTTTTCTTTCTGTTTATGTTGCCATGAACTGTTTCACACATAGATATTATTATATGATTTGAACAAAAGAAAAGGTCTAATCTGAAATGTATATTTTGCAGTTATTATTTGTCATATTTCATGTGTGACATCCTTTTTTATAAAAGCAAATGTGTGAGAGCTTTGGTTTTATAGTTTCAGTGTTTAATATATAGACTAGGAAAGAGAAGATCTCAGAGTATAAATGTAATTTCCCATTCTTTGTTATAATCTTAAACACTTTGAAATCACTGCCATAACTTCCATTGAAACTTATTACATATTTTATTTAAAAAGTATTTTTGTAGTGTCCATGACTAACTCTTTTAAATTTTGGTTTATTTATTAATTTGTCATTTGACTACATTGTGAAATAGTTTATTTTTCTATGAAAGTTTTAGTAACTGTAACTGGATGTTAATTTAATGCAATATTATTGAATGGAGTGTCAAACATTTAAACAAAAAATTTCTAATCCATTAATGGAACTTTGTTATACTAATGTGAATGTCTATCTCATTCAGTTTACTATTTTAAAAAGTTTTCCTTAACAAATAAAACAGCTTTCACTACAGAGGGCGTCGTCAGTCCCATGATATTATAATTTTCATGCATATCGCCATTGACATGAACTGAATCAATATGATTTTTATACATACAAAGAAAAGGCTTTTAAAAAAAACTTTTAGAAATCTTTAGGTGTGGCTTCCAGGAGTTGTACTGGAGCTCAGAGCAACCAGAAGAGCAAAGATTCAGATTCACTTCTTGAGAAAAACATGTGATCTCAGTTTTATGTGACAGAATCTTTTTAAATTTCAGTAAATAAATAAATAAATCTGCGTGGCTTTATAGAGCAGTGATTGTGTATTTTTGCTGCTCTGTGGTCCCACTTCAGCCCTCTAGGCTTCCTTTCCTGTGACATCACTATTTAGAGGTTTCTGAATTTTGTACTCTTTCTTCTTTATTCCAAATAGCTAAAATAAATCACCGAAGTATTAATTACTGGCATATAGTGTTTTAAAATTGAATATTCTCTCTCTCTTTCCCCCCCGACTCATTCATATTTATTCTTGCTCATCACCAGAATGTGCTTTCTAAGAGCATTTCTAAAACTGAGGTTTCCAACTCTGTCCATGAGGTTTCCATCTCTCTTGAACTGGAATGGTAATGAGAACAAAAGTGAAAGATTGAGTTCCATAGTCTGTTGAACTGATGCAGATCTGGAGTGCAAATTGAATTAGATGAAGCCTAAAGTGCTCCTGGCATAGAGAGCAGGGGGAACAAAATTTAAAAGTGCCTGATAAGCAAACTGCTGAAGAAAATGACTCTTTGAAATTCGGCAGACTTATTCCTGCCTTTATCTTGTCTCCAGATTTCATGTACATTAATTGAAAACAAAAAAAAGTTATCTCCATTTTGTTTCTTCAATGCAAGTCAGTGGAAGATTTTACAAATCAAAAGAGAGCTACCACACACACAGGGAATGGGCTGGAGCACACACTGTTCCAGAATGAATTAAGATTCACTGTGATGCCTGGATTGACTTCCAAACTGAATTGGAGGACCTGTACATGACCCCATAGTTTCTTATTTGAACAAAGGTCTCCTCTGAATTCAGGAGCGGGTAACTAGTAGCCTTCCTGATGTTGAACACCCAGAGGTCCTTGTCATTGACTATACTAAGAATAAAAGGGTATTCAGAAACATCTGGCGAGCCAACCTTTGCTTTGTTTGAATTTATTGAAAGGGTTGGATGCAAAATCTCTTCTTTGAGATCAATGGAGAAGCATTAGATTGCTTGCATACACTGGTTTAGACTAGGTCGACCAATGTTTTGTGCACAGCTGCTTCAAACAGTCATATATGCATTTTCACCTGCTAATTGTTGTGGTTAGTTCACATTTTTAACAATCCTGTTTGGCTTTAAAGATTTCATTTGTTTTACTTTGGCCTGTAGATGCTCATTTTAAGACTTTGTCCTTCTATAATTCAATTGTGTAACATTGTTAAGACCCTGTGGAAGGTGCATACCAAAAACCTATGTGTTTTGTTCAGCATGCCTAAAAGAATCTTTAAATATGGCTAATAACAGACATTGGATGAAATAATATCATCCAAGACCAACAGAGTCTGCAGGAATTTTTCCAGGAAACAAGAAAGCTACATAATGGTTTGGTAGCATCATTCATACTCATGGCATGTGCTACTTTAGCACAGCTTTACATTGTGTACTTTGAGCAGATCAAAAAGTGTTTAGATTTGCCTTCCAGTGAGATATTAAATCCCGCTATCAAGGAATGTTACAATCTTGTTGCCCCTACCGTGTTTCCCAGAAAATAAGATAGGAACTTATATTAATTTTTGCTCCAAAAACACATTAGGGCTTATTTTCAGGGGATTTTTTTTTCATATACAACTATCTACATTCATTCTGATACAGTCATGTCATCTTCTGGTTGCTGTACAGTGGTGGAGGATGGGCTTTCACTTAACTAGGGCTTATTTTTTGGGGTAGGGCTTATATTACAAGCATCCTGAAAAATCATACTAGGGCTTATTTTCAGGTTAGGTCTTATTTTCAGAGAAACAGGATATTAGGGCAATGTGTAGCCTGCACAATTAACTTGTAAACCACCCAGAGAGCGCTTGAAGTGCTATGGGTCGGTATATAAGCCGCATACTTTGCTTTGCTTTGCTTTATTTCAAGGCAGGAAGAGCTTCTGCTCTCCAGATATTTTGAATTACATCCCATAATCCCTCTGCTGCCTGGGACCTCTATGAGTGAAGTCAAAGAAATCTGGAGGTCACTAAGATTTCCCCTCACTGTTGCATTTCATTCACTTCCCATACTCATTAATGCTTTAAGAATTAAAGAGAATTGAGTCTGGAAATGAATTGGGAGTCTATGTACAGTAGTACCTCGACTTACGAACGTCCCAACTTACGACCATTTTGAGTTACGACCAGTTCCAGCCGCAAAATTTTGCTTCAACTTGCAGCTGGAGCTTCCAGTTACGAACAGAAAAGGGCAGGGAAAAAAGGCAGGGGAATTCAAATTGCTAACCATTGGTAGTCGAAGAGGCTGCTTCTTTGTAGCTCTTTCGCCCCAACGGTTAAAGTAAGTGCAATCAGAGGAGGCTTTGGACTGCCTGGTAAGGTAAGGTGCTGCTTTCTACTTTTTAAAAACTGTTCTGGGTGGGTTTTGCAGTGTGGTTTTGGGCTGGGGGGTTATGTTTCTGTGCTGTGATGGGTATTGGGGGGTTGGTTTGTTGGTATTTTTCCCCCATTTCCGATGGGTTTTGGGGGATTATTTGCTTTTGGGGTTCCCCCTCATTTCCAATGGGGCTTGGGTTTTTGCTTTTTTGGGGTTTTTCCCCATTCCCGATGGGTCTTGGTTGTTTGCTTTTTGGGTTTTTCCCCCATTTCTGATAGGTCCAGGAGGGTTTCCTTGCTTTTTCCTTGCTTCTCTGGCTTTGCTTTTTTGTTTGTTTGTTTTTTGCATTTCCAATGGGTCTTACACGCTTTGCTTGCTTTCTGCTTTGCTTGTTTTGCATTCACGATGGGTGTTGCACGCTTCGCTTGCTTTTTGCTTTGCTTTTTTTTGTATTTCCGATGGGTCTTGCATGCTTTGCTTGCTTTTCTCCCTCCCCCCCTTTCGCCCGGAATGGATTAATTGCATTTCCGATTGGTCTTGCAATGATTTTATTTATTTATGGTGATTTTTTTCCTTTGTCTGGAACGGATTAATTGCATTTCAGTGCATTCGTATGGGAAATGGTGCTTCGAGTTACTACCATTTCAAGTTACAATCAGAGTTCCAGAACCAATTAAGTTTGTAAGTTGAGTCACCACTGTACTTTGTATAACACTGTTATTAAATATTAAATAACAAAATCACATCCAAACTTGCTGTTACATATTCTACATATTCCTCAAAGAGAGAACAGCCATTTTCTCACAAACTTTGATTTCCTGGCTGCCCATCTCAATGCTCTACTGCTTCAGTTCCATAAAAACTGTACTTTGAGACCAAGTTTTACTTATGCAACCTTTCCTTTTTCAAAGTCCAATTTACAAGAAAACTAATTTTGGTTTCCATTGCCCAGGAGAATACAAGCAAATCCTTAAGTCTTTATTCTTCTGCTTTGGGGTTTTATTGCAAATCGGTGGTGAAATTGCAATGGGAACAGCTAAATCTCTGTAAAGCTTACGATTTCACTTCTGTTGTTATTTTTCATTTCATGGTTCCAGTTGTTTGCTCAACATAATCTCCGCACATTCCCAAGAACTTACCTTTTTGTGGTATTATCTGGAATATAGTTTGAGAACTTTGCAATGAAGTCAAAATATAATAATGTCTTGAAAGAACCTGTGTGCAAAAGAGACTATTTCTTTTATGAATGTTCAAGGTGAGTGCCACTATTTGTATATCACACATGCACCAGGGAGAGAGAGAGGGAGGGAGGGAGGGAGGGACATTTAAGTAGGCTTGCTGATAACTCAATCTTTAAAATTAATAAAAAAAACTTTGGGGAAAAGGAGGGGACATCCCAGAAACTACCAATAGGAATCATGGAATACTGCCTGCTGACAAGAATTGGGATAGGAAATAGAGTATAGTATTTCTGTACTTTAGTTCAATCATCAATCCAAATGGAGACTACAACCAAGAAATCAGAAGACAACAGAAACTTTAAAAGGCAGCTATAAAGGAATTTTAAAAGATCCTTAAGAATAAAGACATGTCATTGGAGACTAAGACCAAGATCATCTTTACTATGGAATTCCTAATTGATACCTATAGAGGTAAAAGCTAGACAGTGAAGAAATTTGGGGGAAAGACCAATTAATTTGAAATGTGATCTTGGAAGAAAGATCCCATGGACTAGCAGAAAGACTAATAAGCAAGTGCTATATAAAATCAAAATTGGTCTCTCTCCGGGAGCAAAAAGACTACACTGAGGTTATCATGCTTTGGGTACATCATGAGAAGACAAGAGACTCTAAGGAAGACAATAATGCTTTGGAAATGTTGAATACAGCAGGGAAAAGTGAAGACTGAATATGAACAGGATATTTTGGAGGTCACTAATATTTAAAGATTTTCAATAGAAGATCAGTCTATGCCAGTGATGGCAAACTTTCTTGAGCCCGAGTGCCCAAACTGAAAAAACAGAACAAAAGTGGGTGGTGGGCGGAAGCAGAAGTGGCGGCGGCTGAAGCAGAAGTGGCGGCAGAAGCAGAACTCCTGGTCACAGAGGTGACTCCAGACCCCACTCCAGATCTGCCTCCAATCGTGCTCAACCCCGCCACTACCTATAGCTTGACTGGCCCGCTACCGGATCCACTATTTGTGAAAAAAATCACATTCAACCTCTGATTATACATGCACAGTACTGGGCTGGTATTCTCTGATCGACATCCTCCCTCCCTGCCACAAGCTTCTTTGGATAGCTGCAAAACATTTCCATTTTCTCTTAAGAAATCCAAATTGTCCTAATATTTCAGTTTTTGGATGTGTAATATGTATTGTAGACAAGAAGGTAGCATTAGGACAGTATATGGAGAGGCAGAATGGTTTCCTATAAGCAAAGGTATTAGATCTGTACACAGAATATATTATATGGAAAGCAAGAGTAGATTCAGATGCAGGAGTGAAAATCGCTGGAAGAAACATAAGTAATTTAAGATATCCCTTAGTACATCTTCTGGAAAGTGTCAGGAAACGTCAGTGGGTCCACAACGCAGCACCAGATTGCTAACTGGGCCTGGTCACAGAGATCACATAACCCCCCAGTTAAAGCAGTTCTGTTGGCTGCCAATCCTCTCCCAAGCAAAATTCAAAGTGCTGGTTCTAACTAGAGATGGGCATGAACCAGATAACCAGGGGTTTGTGATGGTTTGTGGTTTGTGACAAAACACCAGCCACCCCTGAACCTCCAGAAAAACAAACCAGTTCACAGTTCAGTTTTCTGGTTCATGCC